ACCTGAAATAGTTTTTTTATTTTTATTATTCTCTATTTAATTAGACCCTATTTTCTATGCATATGTCACATGAACTTCTATGGTTAGGTCAAAACTAGATGAGCAAGCTTCCCACAATATGGCAAGTTGTGGATTAATTGTGATTTGACTAATGACTATCTAAATTAAATTAAGATTTCTTAATAGTAATTACATGATCCTAATGGGTTTGACTCTATCCCATTATATTTTAATCATCCATTGTAAATGCATATAAATTAATGGTGAGGTCAATTATAGTCTTTACAATGTCATATGCGCACCATGTGCTTATAAAAGGAGAATGCTAATGCATTTCACCTTCACTAATTCTATAAACAATGCATTTACTTACTTATTCCAATATTGTAACATGTAAATTATTATTACTTGTCGTGGTAAATTCCTACAAAAGAGAGAGATGATAGGCTTCATCTTAAATTTGTAAATTCTGTATTAGAATCTCAAGGTTCCTGTGTGAGGCTAAATTTCGAAACTCAAAACTTGTCTACGTGGATGTGTTTTAGCTACAACAGAACAAGATTCATGCACATTCACTTAATTAAATTAGATCAACAACTTACCATGTTGCTTTGATCCCTCCAAGACATGGTAATTGCTAACATTATATAAGATTTAATTAATTATAATTTTCTTGAAACCAGCTACAATTAATATTAGAAGAAATGTTTTGAGGAGTTGGCCGCTTAAGCTTATATATATTTCCCATGAAAACAAATATTTTTTATGTGTCTGTGTGTAACGCGTTTACGTTGATTTTGGTGCATGTGGCCGGCATTATCGTAGGCCAAGGCCGGTCACGGCATCGAGGACTAGGAGAATGAAGTGAAGTATTTATCGTCGCGTAAAATTGATCTTAACCGTCCATAGTAGCTTGAGATTGAATTCTAAGACCATGTGACTCTTCAATGGGTAGCAAGCCATTTACGTTGTCTTCCCAAAGTAGAAAGTCAATTTAAATTGATGCTAACCCTCCCATTTTTGGAATTTCCACCTCATCTCATGCACTCAACCGACTGATATTTCTCAAAGTCAAATGTTTTTGTGCTTTATTAATTCTATTTTTATTTTTTTTTAAATACTTTTAAACAAAAAAAACCTTGTAAAAACATGATGATAGAAAAAAAGAGTTTGGAGAGAAATGAGTTTATATTTTACGAATGTTGTATTTAGATATTAATATATACTGATTTGATTTTTAAATTATAAATGATGGGAAATGGGTGGCAGTGGCAGTGGCAGGGGCAGGGGCATCTCTTGGTTTTGACTAAAGACCAGAAGACATGAGTTGCATTCTTCAGATGTTTAGGTGATTAGAGTAAATTCAATTAATTACTGGACCTGTATATGGTAATGGAAGAAGAATATTATAACGTTGTCTTCTATGCTATTAACTATAATAACGGCAAACATTAAGAATATTTAAGAAAGTGGGAATCAAAATCTTTAGAACATGACTAAAGGGTTTACCCGAAGAACATGATATAACATTGCAAAGATTATATGATTCTAATTACGTCATGAAGCAAGCTATGAGGTTGACCACAGGATATTCATATAGAGGGAAATGTGGAAACACATGAGACCACATGGACCAACCGATTCGTTACTTCAATTTTGGAATATTAAGACTTGAACGAGACCAAACCTTCGAAATTAGTCAAATAGGATTTGTTCAATTAAATTAAATTCGATTCTTCAAACTAACATGACTAATCGTTCTGCTCTTTGAGCAACTATATATATATATATATATTTTATAATTGATTCTTCATTATGTTAATTCACATAATCAAAATATGTCATGATTCATTTGGGAGATTTTTGTTGGTAATATTACTGGAAATTAATGCAAATAATATTTGAAATGGTCTTTTTATATCCACAATGTATGAGTGTGTGATATTATCATATATTATAAATTAAATTAAATTAAATTGCTGTAATATCATTCAATTTATCATTTGCAATGACAATGGTGTCCACCACATTTTGTAAATGAACGTAGAAGGTGGCAGTTGGCTAAAAGGACAAACAGGCTTTCTATTCAAAGAGCGGGCTTGACGGGACGCCCAAACAAAGTTGATATTTGTCTTTATTATGAGTTGCTGGCTTCACATCCAATTCTTAGGGCTGCATTTTCTTGAATGAATTATCCATGAGTCAGTGGTAGAATATATAATTTAGAAATTGTTGAATGTATATAGTTTTAACAACATAAAAGCATCTCTGCAATTAATGGGCAAAGGTTATTATATTTGATTGAATGAGATATAAGTGAGTATCCAATGAGCATTTATTTGTGAAAAATATAGACCACAAAGGGAGAACGTTAATCATGACCACACTTTTTTCTGTGATGTAGTAATGATAATAACAAACTCAATTTTCTTATATCCATCAACATCATCAAATAAAACATTAAATCCAAGGGTTGATTTTGTGAATAAATTTTACATCAAAGAGGTTATTGGGCTCTGAAACGTGAAACCCATTTTGTCTTTTATCTTAAAAACCTTAACGTCCAAGTGGCAAAGAAGAGTGAAAACTGAAAAGCAAGGAGGGGACCTAAATGGCTAACCCCATGGATGGACCAACTACAGAGTGTTAAGCTGACCCGAAATCAGGTGAACCCTTGTGAACTGTGATTACCTACAAGCCTACAAATTGATATCTATCCAGATTTCCATCAAATGGATACGGGCCAATTCATATCTTGACTAGAAAATTGCCAGCTCCTGCATGCCGACATGGTAACTTTCTAAAAAGGCCCTAAAAATTCCGTAATGGATTACAGTTGTAACGGGGTTTGAAGAATTAGGGTGGTCCAGTAGGGGTCCTGAAACTAAAATCCAAGGCTTAATGGTCCCTGCAGCTCATCAAGACTTGATCTTGTAGTTGTAGCAGAAAAGAAGAAGAGTGTTGTGAATGTGAAGTCAAGCCCCTTGTGTACTGGGTGAAGTTGCTTCAGCTGTCCATGTGAAATCCTCCTGCTTCACTTCACTACTTTTGTAGTTTTGTCTTTTGCCCTCAATTCAACTTCATTTTCAATGCTTCNATATTGCTGTAATATCATTCAATTTATCATTTGCAATGACAATGGCGTCCACCACATTTTGTAAATGAACGTAGAAAGTGGCAGTTGGCTAAAAGGACAAACAGGCTTTCTATTCAAAGAACGGGCTTGACGGGGACGTCCAAACAAAGTTGATATTTGTCTTTGTTATGAGTTGCTGGCTTCACATCCAATTCGTAGGGCTGTATTTTCTTGAATGAATTATCAATGAGTCAGTGGTAGAATATATAATTTAGAAGTTGTTGAATCTCTATAGTTTTAACAACATAAAAGCATCTCTGCAATTAATGGGCAAAGGTTATTATATTTGATTGAATGAGATATAAGTGAGTATCCAATGAGCATTTATGTGTGAAAAATATGGACCACAAAGGGAGAACGTTCATCATGACCACACTTTTTTCTGTGATGTAGTAATGATAATAACAAACTCAATTTTCTTATATCCATCAACATCATCAAATAAAACATTAAATCCAAGGGTTGATTTTGTGAATAAATTTTACATCAAAGAGGTTATTGGGCTCTGAAACGTGAAACCCATTTTGTCTTTTATCTTAAAAACCTTAACGTCCAAGTGGCAAAGAAGAGTGAAAACTGAAAAGCAAGGAGGGGACCTAAATGGCTAACCCCATGGATGGACCAACTACAGAGTGTTAAGCTGACCCGAAATCAGGTGAACCCTTGTGGACTGTGATTACCTACAAGCCTACAAATTGATATCTATCCAGATTTCCATCAAATGGATACGGGCCAATTCATATCTTGACTAGAAAATTGCCAGCTCATGCATGCCGACATGGTAACTTTCTAAAAAGGCCCTAAAAATTCCGTAATGGATTACAGTTGTAACGGGGTTTGAAGAATTAGGGTGGTCCAGTAGGGGTCCTGAAACTAAAATCCAAGGCTTAATGGTCCCTGAAGCTCATCAAGACTTGATCTTGTAGTTGTAGTAGAGTGTTGTGAATGTGAAGTCAAGCCCCTTGTGTACTGGGTGAAGTTGCTTCAGCTGTCCATGTGAAATCCTCCTGCTTCACTTCACTACTTTTGTAGTTTTGTCTTTTGCCCTCAATTCAACTTCATTTTCAATGCTTCATTATTGTATATCAATTCATTTGAATAAAACTTTTGACTTTTCTTTTGTCACAATCTTTGTCAATATAGATAAACTAAAACAATGGAATTACTTTCATGATTAATAAAAAAAATATATCAACCCACATAAGTATATCTGCCAAACCAGGAATTACATCAGGTTAGAAATAGTGAATTATAGATGATTCTATACATTGGAGTTGAGAGCCCAGGCCAACTATAAAATGAAGCTGTCCTTTATGAAGATAGTTTAGCTCCTACCGACTTTGTTGAGCTTGAACAGTCAATTCAAATTTGCTGAACCTAGAGCCGTGCCACAATATTCTGTAGAAGCTAAACTTAGAGCCATGCCACAATTAGAAAATGGGCTTTCACCTGGTTGGGCTTCGTGCAAGCCCAGCCTACAAGACACGGAAAATTTATAATTTAGGAGAAAGGCAAGGCCTTTTGCTCTCTCCCAAAAATCATGAGCAAACTGGAAGCATAAATAGTACATCTAATGATCAAAAGGTATAACAATGTTGAATGGCAAAAATTTCAACTAAATGTCATTTCAAGAAGCATAGAAATAAATCAACATATAATTCTCATAAACTTTATATCTTTGTTCATATACAGTTACTTTTATACAATAAAAATTGGGTGGCGAGCCTCAACCACCAAACTACAATGACACTATGCGTGCTTACTTCAGTAACTATAAAATTGCTGCCCCTTTTGGCACCAACAGATCAATACAAAACAAAAAAAGAATGCACACTCAATCAAACAAGAATATATATATATATATATATATAGCCCACCCCCTTTCACAATGATGGATTTTACAGAGTTGAATGACCAAAAAATAAACAAATCGAAAATTTTACAGCAGGGGGCGTGGGTGTCAAAAAGAAAAAAAAAATCTTATGAAACAAAAAAAGGAAAAGAAAAAATGATTGGATTTACAACTGCCTGTGGTGTTTGATCAGAGAGTTTTGACTTCACTGCCTACCTCGACAAAAAAACAAAGTAGAGCAAGCCTGAGCTTCCTTATCTATGCCTCGTGTAAAAATTCAAAGGCTGGATTCTCAAGAAGTTCCTCTGCCGGTTTGACATCCATGAAATCCTTCTCTTGCAATGAATTAGACAGGTCATCGACAGAGAAGGGAATGCTGTATTAAAAAATATGAATTAGTTATTATCGTCAACGCCAGTAAGTTTAATATGCTTCAGAAGCTGTACAAAACTGATTGTTGTAAACAAGGAGATGAACGACAGATGATTAGAAAATATCTAAGCCAAGAAGTAGATAATTATTGAACAAAAATAAAATGGAAGAACTTAAATTGGCCTTTCCTCATCTTATACAAACAATACTTATAACGATCATTTTCTGTCATTCATGAAAGTCTCACCTGGAATTGTCATCCAACAAGAAGGAATTGCTGGCAGCATCATTAGAGTCTTCAGTCATAAGTACCCTCATGCTGGAAATGACCTACAAAAAATATCGAGTAGCAGCCCACTCAGATCCTCAAGACAAGCACATACATTAAAGGCTACCATCTGAGATGAGTTTCCAACAAACAAAGTAACTAACTTACATTTGGAGACACACTTCGAGTGTTATAGTTGTCATCCCAGTATAGAGTACATATTCTATATAGCTGCTGGACACTCAGGATCTGAACAAACCAAACATTGATGTGAGTCAATAACAGAGAGAGAAGTTTTGCTCATTGGTGCTGGCATGCATCATGCGGGTAGGAAAAAAAGGGTCAACCTGAATTGACCCTTAACAGATGAGCACTGAGAAATTTGATTCTTGCAAATCTACTTTGGCCATTTCTTCAGTTAAATTCATGAAACATTATGTGAGTCAATAACAGAGAGAGAAGTTTTGCTCATTGGTGCTGACATGCATCATGCGGGTAGGAAAAAAAGGGTCAACCTGAATTGACCCTTAACAGATGAGCACTGAGAAATTTGATTCTTGCAAATCTACTTTGGCCATTTCTTCAGTTAAATTCATGAAACATGTAGGTATGCATGTGTATACACAGAAGAACACATGGAAGAATATATGTGCACACACACACACACAAAAGAGAAACAGAGTGAGTAGAGAGAGACTTACGGGGCACAGATCATTAGTGATTTCATCATAGGAAATTCTGTATTTTTGATGTATAACCTGTGGATAAATATCAGTGGAAACCAAGTTAAAAACATATTATTGTTTTCCATCCCATAGAAAAAGGGAAAAAACAAATAAAAATTACAAAACAGAGACAAACTAATGTCAGCACATAATAAAATCAGTCCATGGAAATAAAAGCAATTACCGTGGCCATAATATATTATTTCAAGTAAAAGAACACTAGTTGTAGCAAGTTCAGTTAATGAAATAAGAAAAAAGGAATATATATATATAGAGAGAGAGAGAGAGAGTTAATAGTTGCAACCCCTTTGAAGTATCCCTAATCTACAATAAACCTTGAGGTATATACCTAAATGCCTTAAGTCCCCTGCCATTAGTGATCTGTTAACATATCTAAGCAAACATGTCTAATCTCACCAACAGCAGGAGTGGATTCCATAAACAATCACTAATGGCAGGGAGTTCAGGGCTTTTAGGTATACCTTAGGGGGTTTATTGTGCATTAAGGATACCTCGGGGGTTAACAGTCATTAACCCGAATATATTTTATCAAAGAGAACACAAGTTGAAGAGGTACTTTATACCAGAAACAAATGCATCACAAACTGTTGCAGATTGAACAAAGAAGTAGGAAAATGCATTTTTTTAAATTAACCTCTGTTATAAAAGTACACTTGCAAAATGCATAAGTTCAACAATACAGTATATGGTATATAAACAAGGTCAATCAATGCTGGCTATGTCAGCACTAATGGCTAACCAATAACTATAAATCTATTGATCTGTTACAAGTTTTTAGTATTGAATGCCTAAAGAAAAATCATATGGACATTCAATGATATAAAATCTCACATGAACAATGAGGATCACAACATTACTCATTGCCAGTAAATGAAATTTAATTTGCATAATATTAAGCAGGCACGTAATTAAAAAATAATTGCTTCATTACTCGTATATTTTCGTGAATGAGAGAAGTAGGAAACTATTTGAGTAGACTGAACTACTTTCTACCAAAATGAGAAAACTAGATTGAAAATTATAGCCACTTTTACAAGATTCAAGAAGTATTCAGACAAAGACACTGCCATCTTAGCAGTTAAAAATAATATGGGAAAGATTGAACTACAGAAGAAAACATTTGATCACATTTACTAGACAGGAAGTGGAAAATAATTGGAATAACTTCATCACATTGATAAATTTGTCAAAACAAGTAGCATGGAAAAGGGAGGAGAAAAGACACAAAGTTCAACAAGAGTGATAACTATGCTAATAAAAGTGATGTAAGCCTAATCCCGTCAAATAAGTTGCTTTCAGCATGAAATTGAAACATAGGTCAGGTCTAGAGAAAAAGAGGATGAAGAATATCAAGATTATTCATAATGAAATCAGCAACGCAGGTAGAATAACAGATGTATTTCATCATGTGAATGCCTTCAACTATTTGTTTCGCCACTTATGTGTGATCTACAGCATGTTATCATAGATGTTTCCTAGTCAATGTTCTAAGATCACAAAAATACAGAATGAAAAAATCAAGAGAAAAAGTCTCTTAACACCAATATGTTTCTCCTTTTCTCCCAAGAACTGAAAAATTATATGTCAACCACAAGCAAAAAAACTACAATATATTCATAAAGCACTAAAAGATACAAAAACATATTTTGAAGAGATATTACTGAAGTTTAACAATTCAGAGACCATAATTACATCACATTGGCTTTCATTGTTAAAATATTGCTATGATATCAAACAAGATGGCATACCAGGAATCCAACAGCCTGTCTAATGTGCTTAAGTTCATCCCAAGAGGAGCCTGCATACTGCAATCCGAGGATTAAGAAATAAAAATCAGGAAAATTTTAGTGCATTATATAATACAGCAAGTAATCACCAATAAGATTTACACAGTAACAACAATTAACCAAGATAAAAGTCGTGAACCCATGAAAAGAAAATTACTTCATCTTTTGCTTGACAGCACCATAGCTCCAACTCAGCTAACCCAGCTTTCACATATTCTCCATTGCTGAAAGTACAACACTCACGACGTAGAAGGAGACTGGAAAAATCATAAGAAAATTATGGTATGACCAAACAGTTTGGTACAAATTGACAAAACATTCAAATTAAAAACCAAGTACCTGTTAAATAATTGTACATTTATGTATGAGAAAGTCTGAGTGAAGATCTTCTGGACCAGAACTGGAGGCACCTGAAATACCAGAACTATTTAGAATCTTTCCACTTATACAGAAAATTAAATTTTCATTATCCCTCAAACTATGTGGGGCAAAGGTAAAAGAGCAAACAATTAAGTCCCATACAAAATTTTGCTTCAATGTACTGAGAAGAGTATTGAGGCTATCAATAATGCTCTGCCAGTGACTAGAAGGAGAATCTTTGCCAAACGATCGCCCAGATCTTAGTACATTTCCCTTAGATGTCCTTGGTGCCTGAAATTCAAAATTGAAAGTTATAAACAGTTTAGAGCCACAGCTTCTAAGCTACAGGAACAAGCTAAACTGAAGTTTAGGTGCACTGAAGCAGATGATATTAAAGATCTTAGAATTCAACAATATTGCAAGCTTCAGAGCAAATATACCTGGATACACAATGAAAGGAAAGACGATAACTCCTTTTTCAAGTTGTCTCGAATGATTCCATAAATTTTCTCCACATATGCTGCTAGCTGCTGTTTGAAAAGTAAAGCTGGATATTTAGCCTCCACTTGACGTACTACCGCAAGTGCAGCGGCAGCAGCAAGGTTTGCCGAAGAGGGAGATGAGCGAAAACCCTACAATTAACACAGAAAAGGAAGAACTAAATTATCATATCTATTTCTTGAAAAAAAATGAAAGTCAAACAACGGTTTTTATTTTATAGGAAACATAAAAAAATATGTTAATACTTGAGAATGACGAGATTAAAATGGTGGACAAGGTGTCCAAAACAAGAAGCCAAATCAAAAAACAACAAAACCTGAATTACTGAGTAACCTGTGTGGTATGAACACCAAAAGAAAAGAAAGATCACTACAACCCGGACAATATGTGACTCAAACACAGAGCCCCTTGGCAATAAAAGAAGAACAAAGAAGAATGAGGTATTTCAAAAGTTTCTTGCAATAGACGCCAAAAATTACAAAAAAAAAAAAAAAAAAATCTGATTTTTTCCAACAGGACACTGACTTCTCCTTTTACTCTACAAAGATGTGGCAACTTTTTTCATGCCTAATCATCCACAAAAGAGATAGAACTACACACATCCAAAGTGCTTTGACTTTTTCTATTATAGCAAAAAGTTGCAACATCCTCCATGAATAAAGAATAGCAAGATCTCATAGTAACCCGCATAAATTTGGCTTCATTGCACAGATTGGATGTAAAAAGTAATAGAATTAGATTCAATTAAATAATTCAAATACCATGGCCATCCTCCCAAATAGGGAGGTTGCGGTGGGTGGTTTCTTATGTGGAGTTGCACCAGCAGCCTTCAAACTTCGTTGGAGCAAGAACAATAACGTAGATGTATTGGATAACCAATAAGCCATATGATCATTGTTTTCTTCATTCTGTGAAATAAGTGTTACCATAATTTAGTTCTTAAAACTTGCATGCTAGAAGGACATCACAGTAATTAACAAAGAAAAGTAAAATGATAAGCAATAGATTGGAGGAAACCCAACACTTCATCAAAAAAATTTATAAAAAACTACAAGGGACAAATAAAAAGACAAAGATGTCACAATCTGTGCAAAAATGTGGACTGTCACACAAATCACTATTATCAATAATGCTATCCAGATACCTCAATTGCAGAACCTATCATCTGAATTAGACGATCGAACACACTAGTCCTTTCAGCTTCAAAAGATTTCCACTGGAGAAGACATTTGTATATAGTAAATGCGGCAACAGGTTTTCCATTACTGTAACCGATGTTCTTGATTACACAGTTGATAAGGGCATCAACGTTCTCCTGTTGCAAGAGTAAAACTAAAAATGTAAGAATAATTCAGCCTACATCATGCTTAAGAGGAAAGCCTGACAAATGATGCAGATTCCAGTATTGGCAGGAATATACATGTTGATTTTCAATCTGAGATCTCCTGAACTTGCTCTCAGATTCTGTGCCCATCTTTTTCACCGGTGTAACACTCTGTGGTTCCTGCATAAACAACTTTTGTCAATGACATTAATAACAAGAAGTTTAAACCCAAAAATATATTGATAGATAATCCATGCAAAAGAAACATTACATTGGATCTTCCATCTTCATTCACATGGTAGCCATTTGCCAAACTCTGCAAATTGGGAAAGGTGAGAAAAAGAAAGAACATGTAAGCCAGACAACAAAAGGAAAGTCCATACAATAATTTGGCGTATTACCTGAGTTTCTGTTGATGATAGATGTTCTGACATCTTCTTAACAGGTGTTTTTAATAGGGTTTGCTGCCGAAGAATTTGGTTCTCAGATTCCACGTCAGAAACTTTTTCTTCTAGCCTGCAAATGAAAGAGACAAAAAACACTGAAATTAAGTAGAATAACAGCCACACTACATTCAACAATAATATTGGATATTAGTATCATTTCTGAAACTTGGTGAAGTAACAAAGAAAACAACTTGTGCACAGCAGTCTTCAACTGCACTATTTTTGACTCTGCCTCCAAAGCTTGCTTCAACCTTTCTTCACTAATTTTGCTGGTCTCTTCAAATTTTTTCTCAGTTTCACCAATTTTACTTTCCAATGAACTTACTAACGCCTGCAATTGATAAGCAGAAAAGCAAATAATAAGAAATGAGAAATTCAACAACATGCTCCTCTGTGCTATAATACTCTTTTGACCAGAAAATAAATCACACACTCGGCCTCCTTACCTTGAGTTTTTCATTTTCACTTGTAAGCTTCTCCAGCATTGTATGGTCAACAACAGGAATCTCCTGCACAACAGGAACTTTCTCTGCTTCCTTTTTGGCAACCTCAATTTCTTTCGTGAGCATTGCCTTGGTTTCCTTGAACTGAAGCTGCATCTCTTGCAAAGCAGACTGTAGTTTTGCATTTTCTTGATTTTTAGCTTCTTCCATGTCAGCCTACAAAAGTAGATCATGGACGCACAAATTAGGGCCAAAGAAAAATATTGAAACAAAAACATAACTCATAAGTCATAAAAAGCACATCATGCATGTGTAAGTTCTAAAATTTCACTCCCTTCTTTCTCTCCCTCTTTCCTTTTTCGGTGAGTTGACAGGTAAGCATTGTGTGCCACATTGGGAAAAGATAGTGAGAGGGACTAATATACATAGGGCCTCTAGGACCTATCAATATAAGCTTCTGGGTCAAGGAGAGGTCAAACCATCCACATATCGAGGTTCCTGTTGGTAGACTCCCTTGCGCTACAAGTGGCATCAAAGGCAATGACTAGGCTAGAAAAAGTAGTAGCATGTCTTTCATGTGGTTTTAAGAGGTGCATGTCTGCGCACAGTCTCAATTAGGGAAATGTCCAACCTTTCCAACAATATCAAATATGTCAATGTGGAAGCAAAAGAGAGGAGGCAAGACAGAAGCTCCATGAATAAAATTGCATTTAACTATTATTCTGCACGGTTAATTGTCCTATGTCATCACAGTGCTCTACTCTTTCAAAATAAAAATTGTCACTGATAAAACAAGATTGGAAAGCTTAACCAAACTTAAATCAATAGACAGTTGAAGTCATTCCGGACAAACATCATACAATACCAACTTGACACATATTTCAACTAATAAATTAATATATTACCCTCATGCGTTTCTCCAACTGCAATCTCCATGTCAATTCTTCAACTTGTTTTTCCAATTTATTTTTCGCAGCTTGGAGAGCTCCTGTTTCCCTAGCAGCCTGTAAATAACAAGCAAATAAACTCTTAAGTTCTAAGAAAGAAAAGCAACACATAAACTGAATCTAGTGCTTAAAAAGACTGCATTTCAGAAACAAAACTAGCAATCAAAATCACATAGAACTCATTAGCAACTAGGCATGATGTCAACAACAGCCCTTTTTTTTTCTTTCCTTTTTGTCATTCAAGAGCTCCGTTTCTTGTAAAAATCACTCTCTGAATACAGATCTCTTAAACTTCAGCCTTCAAATCAGGATATTAAATAGCCAAAAAAAAAACAATGATTTACGAAAATTATAAAAACTATAAAATTAAGATTTATTCTTAATCAATACATAAACACAAAATTTCAGTGTAATAAGTTATTTCTCAAACAAAACGTTCTCCAGGGATTAAAAGAATTGAAGACCAACTTTCCCTGTGCATATAATGCTAAAAGATCTGACGAGAAGGAAAGGTAGTCATTAATTAAGTGGTTAACTCAAAATTTTCCTAAACAATTTTGTAAGAATGAATCTGATGAAGAATTGAAAAACAAAAATGAAAGAGATCGTCACCATCTTAAGCTTCCGCAACTCTTTGCGAGCAACCCTTCCTCTCCATGCGCATTGTGTTGTAATAGCTGCTTTCTTCAACTTCATATAATGCAACCGTGCTAAGTACTTGCGGCACTGGCTCTGGAGTATAAAATTGAAGTTAATCCAAGTACCAAAGAACCTCAGCCACTCACAGCAAGACAAATGAAATTTGACATCATGCAATGAAATCTTCCCTAAATCTTTAAGTTTCAAAACTTAACATTAGAGTCTCAAGAAACTTTTTACACATTGCAAGGCTACTATGAACAAACAAGTAAAAAATTACCTACTTATTTTGTCAAGAAAAAAAAAAATTGACCTACCTGAATTATAATTGCTGCTTGAGTCTGCCTTCTGAATCGGAGCTCATTCCGAGCAGCCATCCCACGCATCCCTGTTTGAATGCAAGAAGCAGAGGAACACAAATCTTTATAAGCTTTCCTAGCAATATACATGCGGAAATCTCTTTGGATCCTAAGAGAGGAAGCTTCTCTCCGCACGCTCTCGTAAACTTCGCGAGCAAGTTGTCCTGCAGTCATGACAGACAGAAAGTGAGAAAAATCCATTCTAAAAGTCTTGGGGAGAGGATTACTAAGCTAACCTAAAAAGCCCTAGATGCACAAATACAGTTAAAACACAATTCAGTACCTCTGCATGCAGCTTGAATCTGAATAGCAGATCGACGGAGCAAGATAAAACTTTTGCGACCCAAATAAGAACGGACTTTCCTCTGGATAATGCTGGCTGATCTTCCTAAGACTTCGCTCCTACGTCCATCTAAATCCGCCATCTGACCCGCCCTAAGAAAAACCTTTGTTTTACCTATCTGCAAATACAAACTAGATCACTAACAATACTTGCAAAAAACCTAACTAGGAAGATAAGAGGCATTTACACAGGATTTAGAAGACAAAAGGTATATCTCCAACAAAGCAGACAGCAATCCCAGTAATTGGAACCAAAATGCTATCAAGAGTACTTCCTATAATTCCTTGCCTTAAAGATAGCTAATACATTTCCAAAATACCAAAAGTGTTGGCAACACAAGCACACATCAATATAACAGCAAAACAAATGTTATCATTATTTTCATGTTTCGTAAATAAACTCTTTTTTTTTTTTTTGGTGGAAGAATCAACTCCATTCAGCCCTGAAGACGTTTTTGGAACGACAAACCCAATTAGGTTGCAGAAGTTGAAAAGAGGATTGGCACTATCTAGATGTAAAAATGCCATTAGTCATGAAGGGCTCAACAGGCTAGCCCTTATTATATAAGTGGCCAACAAACAAAGATGTGGCAACTTTTTTCATGCCTAATCATCCACAAAAGAGATAGAACTACACACATCCAAAGTGCTTTGACTTTTTCTATTATAGCAAAAAGTTGCAACATCCTCCATGAATAAAGAATAGCAAGATCTCATAGTAACCCGCATAAATTTGGCTTCATTGCACAGATTGGATGTAAAAAGTAATAGAATTAGATTCAATTAAATAATTCAAATACCATGGCCATCCTCCCAAATAGGGAGGTTGCGGTGGGTGGTTTCTTATGTGGAGTTGCACCAGCAGCCTTCAAACTTCGTTGGAGCAAGAACAATAACGTAGATGTATTGGACAACCAATAAGCCATATGATCATTGTTTTCTTCATTCTGTGAAATAAGTGTTACCATAATTTAGTTCTTAAAACTTGCATGCTAGAAGGACATCACAGTAATTAACAAAGAAAAGTAAAATGATAAGCAATAGATTGGAGGAAACCCAACACTTCATCAAAAAAATTTATAAAAAACTACAAGGGACAAATAAAAAGACAAAGATGTCACAATCTGTGCAAAAATGTGGACTGTCACACAAATCACTATTATCAATAATGCTATCCAGATACCTCAATTGCAGAACCTATCATCTGAATTAGACGATCGAACACACTAGTCCTTTCAGCTTCAAAAGATTTCCACTGGAGAAGACATTTGTATATAGTAAATGCGGCAACAGGTTTTCCATTACTGTAACCGATGTTCTTGATTACACAGTTGATAAGGGCATCAACGTTCTCCTGTTGCAAGAGTAAAACTAAAAATGTAAGAATAATTCAGCCTACATCATGCTTAAGAGGAAAGCCTGACAAAATGATGCAGATTCCAGTATTGGCAGGAATATACATGTTGATTTTCAATCTGAGATCTCCTGAGCTTGCTCTCAGATTCTGTGCCCATCTTTTTCACCGGTGTAACACTCTGTGGTTCCTGCATAAACAACTTTTGTCAATGACATTAATAACAAGAAGTTTAAACCCAAAAATATATTGATAGATAATCCATGCAAAAGAAACATTACATTGGATCTTCCATCTTCATTCACATGGTAGCCATTTGCCAAACTCTGCAAATTGGGAAAGGTGAGAAAAAGAAAGAACATGTAAGCCAGACAACAAAAGGAAAGTCCATACAATAATTTGGCGTATTACCTGAGTTTCTGTTGATGATAGATGTTCTGACATCTTCTTAACAGGTGTTTTTAATAGGGTTTGCTGCCGAAGAATTTGGTTCTCAGATTCCACGTCAGAAACTTTTTCTTCTAGCCTGCAAATGAAAGAGACAAAAAACACTGAAATTAAGTAGAATAACAGCCACACTACATTCAACAATAATATTGGATATTAGTATCGTTTCTGAAACTTGGTGAAGTAACAAAGAAAACAACTTGTGCACAGCAGTCTTCAACTGCACTATTTTTGACTCTGCCTCCAAAGCTTGCTTCAACCTTTCTTCACTAATTTTGCTGGTCTCTTCAAATTTTTTCTCAGTTTCACCAATTTTACTTTCCAATGAACTTACTAACGCCTGCAATTGATAAGCAGAAAAGCAAATAATAAGAAATGAGAAATTCAACAACATGCTCCTCTGTGCTATAATACTCTTTTGACCAGAAAATAAATCACACACTCGGCCTCCTTACCTTGAGTTTTTCATTTTCACTTGTAAGCTTCTCCAGCATTGTGTGGTCAACAACAGGAATCTCCTGCACAACAGGAACTTTCTCTGCTTCCTTTTTGGCAACCTCAATTTCTTTCGAGAGCATTGCCTTGGTTTCCTTGAACTGAAGCTGCATCTCTTGCAAAGCAGACTGTAGTTTTGCATTTTCTTGGTTTTTAGCTTCTTCCATGTCAGCCTACAAAAGTAGATCATGGACGCACAAATTAGGGCCAAAGAAAAATATTGAAACAAAAACATAACTCATAAGTCATAAAAAGCACATCATGCATGTGTAAGTTCTAAAATTTCACTCCCTTCTTTCTCTCCCTCTTTCCTTTTTCGGTGAGTTGACAGGTAAGCATTGTGTGCCACATTGGGAAAAGATAGTGAGAGGGACTAATATACATAGGGCCTCTAGGACCTATCAATATAAGCTTCTGGGTCAAGGAGAGGTCAAACCATCCACATATCGAGGTTCCTGTTGGTAGACTCCCTTGCGCTACAAGTGGCATCAAAGGCAATGACTAGGCTAGAAAAAGTAGTAGCATGTCTTTCATGTGGTTTTAAGAGGTGCATGTCTGCGCACAGTCTCAATTAGGGAAATGTCCAACCTTTCCAACAATATCAAATATGTCAATGTGGAAGCAAAAGAGAGGAGGCAAGACAGAAGCTCCATGAATAAAATTGCATTTAACTATTATTCTGCACAGTTAATTGTCCTATGTCATCACAGTGCTCTACTCTTTCAAAATAAAAATTGTCACTGATAAAACAAGATTGGAAAGCTTAACAAAACTTAAATCAATAGACAGTTGAAGTCATTCCGGACAAACATCATACAATAGCAACTTGACACATATTTCAACTAATAAATTAATATATTACCCTCATGCGTTTCTCCAACTGCAATCTCCATGTCAATTCTTCAACTTGTTTTTCCAATTTATTTTTCGCAGCTTGGAGAGCTCCTGTTTCCCTAGCAGCCTGTAAATAACAAGCAAATAAACTCTTAAGTTCTAAGAAAGAAAAGCAACACATAAACTGAATCTAGTGCTTAAAAAGACTGCATTTCAGAAACAAAACTAGCAATCAAAATCACATAGAACTCATTAGCAACTAGGCATGATGTCAACAACAGCCCTTTTTTTTTCTTTCCTTTTTGTCATTCAAGAGCTCCGTTTCTTGTAAAAATCACTCTCTGAATACAGATCTCTTAAACTTCAGCCTTCAAATCAGGATATTAAATAGCCAAAAAAAAAACAATGATTTACGAAAATTATAAAAACTATAAAATTAAGATTTATTCTTAATCAATACATAAACACAAAATTTCAGTGTAATAAGTTATTTCTCAAACAAAACGTTCTCCAGGGATTAAAAGAATTGAAGACCAACTTTCCCTGTGCATATAATGCTAAAAGATCTGACGAGAAGGAAAGGTAGTCATTAATTAAGTGGTTAACTCAAAATTTTCCTAAACAATTTTGTAAGAATGAATCTGATGAAGAATTGAAAAACAAAAATGAAAGAGATCGTCACCATCTTAAGCTTCCGCAACTCTTTGCGAGCAACCCTTCCTCTCCATGCGCATTGTGTTGTAATAGCTGCTTTCTTCAACTTCATATAATGCAACCGTGCTAAGTACTTGCGGCACTGGCTCTGGAGTATAAAATTGAAGTTAATCCAAGTACCAAAGAACCTCAGCCACTCACAGCAAGACAAATGAAATTTGACATCATGCAATGAAATCTTCCCTAAATCTTTAAGTTTCAAAACTTAACATTAGAGTCTCAAGAAACTTTTTACACATTGCAAGGCTACTATGAACAAACAAGTAAAAAATTACCTACTTATTTTGTCAAGAAAAAAAAAAATTGACCTACCTGAATTATAATTGCTGCTTGAGTCTGCCTTCTGAATCGGAGCTCATTCCGAGCAGCCATCCCACGCATCCCTGTTTGAATGCAAGAAGCAGAGGAACACAAATCTTTATAAGCTTTCCTAGCAATATACATGCGGAAATCTCTTTGGATCCTAAGAGAGGAAGCTTCTCTCCGCACGCTCTCGTAAACTTCGCGAGCAAGTTGTCCTGCAGTCATGACAGACAGAAAGTGAGAAAAATCCATTCTAAAAGTCTTGGGGAGAGGATTACTAAGCTAACCTAAAAAGCCCTAGATGCACAAATACAGTTAAAACACAATTCAGTACCTCTGCATGCAGCTTGAATCTGAATAGCAGATCGACGGAGCAAGATAAAACTTTTGCGACCCAAATAAGAACGGACTTTCCTCTGGATAATGCTGGCTGATCTTCCTAAGACTTCGCTCCTACGTCCATCTAAATCCGCCATCTGACCCGCCCTAAGAAAAACCTTTGTTTTACCTATCTGCAAATACAAACTAGATCACTAACAATACTTGCAAAAAACCTAACTAGGAAGATAAGAGGCATTTACACAGGATTTAGAAGACAAAAGGTATATCTCCAACAAAGCAGACAGCAATCCCAGTAATTGGAACCAAAATGCTATCAAGAGTACTTCCTATAATTCCTTGCCTTAAAGATAGCTAATACATTTCCAAAATACCAAAAGTGTTGGCAACACAAGCACACATCAATATAACAGCAAAACAAATGTTATCATTATTTTCATGTTTCGTAAATAAACTCTTTTTTTTTTTTTTGGTGGAAGAATCAACTCCATTCAGCCCTGAAGAAGTTTTTGGAACGACAAACCCAATTAGGTTGCAGAAGTTGAAAAGAGGATTGGCACTATCTAGATGTAAAAATGCCATTAGTCATGAAGGACTCAACAGGCTAGCCCTTATTATATAAGTGGCCAACAAAAAGTATCCGTATCATAGATCAGCGGATTCTTGTCACGGAAACATCATGCACAAAAGCTGAGAATAATGTAACAGTCATTAAAAGAATTTGTTATGATTATGACATTTTTGAGAAAATCAACAACTCGGCATGAGAAACAATAATCTTAACAGAATCGCACACTGGGAAGATGGTTTGATCAATCATCATATGATTACCTGGTAGCCTTCAAGTCCCACCTTCTCTAGGAGCCTCTTGCAAGCAGTGACTTCATCAGAACTAACATAAAATAATTAATAATATAAGCAGTCAGAAGATGGCCTGACAAAAATATCCAATAAGTTAAAGAACACAATTACAGTACCTCCCATCCAAAACTTCAGATGCAAGTATGCCAAATCGATCCAAAAATTCATCAAACGGTTTTCTAGTTGGATATCCAGCACAACTTATCCTGATTGCCTCCATGACTCCCTGAGATTATACATATAAACTTGTATAAATGCAAGCAGATTTTGTTCAAAACAACAAATTATTCAAGGTCCAACATCTAGGATTTTAATTCTCACCCCACAACGTAGTTGCTGTAGAACACTTTTATTCTCGAATATTGCTGGCTTAAGAAGATTATTGGGCTTTACACAACGAATATAATGTGGCTCAGTGGAACTGAGGGTCTCAAGCAATGCTTGCAATTGTTGCTGTAGCAAGGACAAAAGATGACTTCATAACCCACAGGAGTACACAAAATCAAAATTCCTTAAGAAGCGAAAAATTATCAACCTTAAATCGAGAACCTATTGAAGAAAACTTTGATGACTTGGAAGATTCCTCAGCCAAAGGTGGAAACAAAGATGCTACAAAGGAGCATTTGGAAGCACCTAACAGTTGCTGATGTTCAGCAACAACATAGTCTTTGTTTTTGTCTAAGAACAATTCCGTTTGATAAGTGACCTGTCAAAATACAGTACAATTTCTTAGTGAATGCACTTAAAACATAAAGATTTCTAGACTTCTTAGGTCTAGATTCTATAATGTAACTAAAAACAACACAGTCTGAAACAAATAAAGCAGCCTTACATCACCAGCATAATGGCAAATTGTGAAGTCACTACGAGATAATTTTGGCTTGGTGAAGCGCTTATGATTTTTAAATGTCTGATACAGCTTTTGAGCGAATGTTTCATGTGTTGATCTTGGAAACATACTACAAAACATAAGCGTAATTTATCTCACCACAAAAACTCTCAAATCCAATATTGAAAAATAGTAAATTAACAAGAAAATTGGTGTATAAGGAACGGTTGACATCAACGTTAAAATATCAGTACACCTCACAACTGTACTTACCAAGCTTCATCCAGAAGAGCAATTATGCCACCAGGTTTCTGGAAAATAGACAAATAAATAAAGTGATTGATATGAAACCATGTCCCAATATGACCTCATTGACATGTTAGTAATGTTCCACTTTTATCAAGAAAAACAAACAACGGAGAAAGAAAAAAATAACTAAATAACAGCTGAAAGTACCAATCGATATCACTACCTTACCTAATACGCATAAATTACAAAGTTGAAGCTATGTTTTGACCTCAAGGAAAAACATTTTACAGTACTCATTCTTACACTAATTGAAAACCAGTGCAAAATGAAGACAAAAACAAAAATAAAGATGAAAAAAGGGAAGGAATAAAAGCATGACAAGGAAGAGGAGCACATAACAACAGAGATTATGTTCTAGAGTTTCTGAAGCACTGCGTCCAGTCCAGAATACTCCACAAAGAGATTGGGAAATCCTATAGGGCATTCAATTGTGCCTAGTGCAACATTTTCAGGATGGACATTGGATGATCATAACAGAGATAATACTTTTTATAATGCATTTACCTACAACAACCCCCTTACGTCCAGCTACAGAACAACAAGCACTATATACAACAGGAATGAAAGTAGAACGAAAAGCATTGACAAATCAATAGGAAGATCATAAGATCAGATATTAAACAAAAAGGGTAAGCATAATTTTGAAGCATCTTTATATACTATTTATGAGTAAACACAAGAATACCAAATTAATAATTTAAAGAATTGGCAGAGATTCACTGAAATGGAATTTAATATAGTCCAAAAGAAAGAAAAAAAAAAAAGCTAGAGAATACCAAGCTTTTATGCAGAGATAGACACCACAAACCTTTTCAATGAGATCTAAAACATCTTGATTATCCACAAATTCTATGTAGCTCCAGTCAATTTCTTCTTTAGTATATTCTTCTTGCTCCATTTTGAATACGTGCTGCCCACAAATATGTTTATGCATCAGAAACTACGCAATATAGATAAACAGAAGATACTCCAAGAATGTTGAAGAAACAGAGATGCATTTAACAAACCAACCTGATTGAAATGTTGCTGAAGTTTCTCATTCGTCAAATTGATACAAAACTGCTCAAAACTGCAGAAGCCACAAGATACTTAGCATCAAATCATCACCATGGAAGAAGCCATCAACCAAGCATCCACAAAAAAAAATACATATATATATCATTGTAGCAAATTTTTAATGAATGATCAACTTCATCTGTTCTGGATTCCCTAAAAGAAGTGACAGCACATGTGACCAAAATACTGTCAGCTTTCCATTCAACTCTAGGCAATAATTTAATAAGGCTAGGGGATGAACTATCTCTTGATACTCAATCCAGCAATTCACACTGTCCTGGAATGATGATATGCACCAAATATACTCCTTGCAGCCTAGTGAACTGCTGTGATCATGCAGTAGTAGAACTATAACTGAGAGGTAATGATGTCTAACTACTTTGGAAACTTAGGAATATTAATATTTTACAGTAAGGTTTTGAGATGGAAAACACTATCTTCCAAAGCAATAAATTCATGTCATCAAAAGTCATTTTCTTCCTTTTCTTCCCAAAAATTACTTTGGAATGTCTGACAAATAGTGGTACCTGCATTTGTTTTGCTTACAAAAATTGTTTAATAAAAATCATAGGGTGCTCAAAGTAACTTGTGATAAACGCCAAAATATATTGATGGCAAACCTTCCATCATAAGATTATTAAAAAGCTGAAAATGAATTGTGTGGGCAGAAACGGATAATTAACATACACTAGTTTATGCTAAATGAAGACAAAATCACAGCCAGTGCAGATACTAGAATATAAAATAATGATAACAGGTCCTAGCTAGGCCTCAAAGACAAAGAACAGTTGAAGCCAACACATAAATAGCCCTTTGAAATCTTGCTTAGCTGTTCTCACACCCATAAACATCTGTACAGGACATTTCCTTCCCTAGACAAGTAAAATTTAAGACTCAAAATAACATAAACAAAATTTTTAATCATCAATTCTGTTTTTGATATTATAATCACATTCTAAAAAGGAGAGAATAGTGAATCTTTCATTGTCTTTTGAGGGGAGAAAGTTGGTTGTGATAAGTAACGCCATTATTGTAATTTAACAAAAAAAAAATTAATTACTTGAAATATCATAACGCAAGAAATACTCAGTCAATGAGATCTATGCCTCCTCAGTCAAGGTGTAGCAATTACACCTTTGATTAGGCCCTGACAGATGATTCAGTAAAGCACATTGCCTTTTGAAGACTACTGATTTATTTTAAAAGGAAGAAGGCATATATTACTGCCACATAGCAAGCCTGAAAAATGCCATTTTATACCTTAAGGCAGATAAATACTGCTTGCACTAAGCGGCTTTGGAAACCAATTTCAATCAATCATGAAAACAAAAGGCATACCGGTTAAGCACCTGTTTGTCTTGAAACTCTCAAATCCGTAAATATCCAGCACTCCGATTAAGGACTTTGAGTCAGGATCTTGACCGATTGAACTATTGATCTTGTCAACAAGCCTGACACACCAAGAAGAGATGGACAGAGAAATAATTAATAAAAGAGTCAAACTAATAGAATACAACTGAACAAAATAGCAAGTAAACAGTAAGCACAGTCAATTCTGACATTCTCTTTACAGTATGGAAGCAAATCATACCAGTCAAATAGTCTCGAGTAGACAATTTTAGCCAAAGCATCTCTACTGAGAGCTGCAGCTTCTGGATCCAGCCATTTTGTAATGGTTTCATCACGGGTTACAATCACACGCTTGCAGAGAGAATCTTCTAGAGCCTTGACATCACACCTGGAAAATCCAAACAAAGAAATTTTATTCTTCTTCTCATAAGTGCATATAAAGCCCACACAATGAAGCACATGGTTTATTTGACTGTGAACAAGTGATAATTTAATAGTTCATTTACATTAAAAGTTCAGCGACAATTCTTAGATGGAACCAAGATTTTTCGTCTTTGGGAACCGATGAGTCCATTTCCTTCCCCTTAGCAAATTCAACGTTTCCAAGATGAAGAATAGCGGCCACAACTCGAAATATTGCATCCTGATAAAGGGTTTATTTTATAAAACAAAATAGATTTTATAGATACTTTGCATTAAAGCATAGCATCTTACAGTTGAAAAACTCCCTAAAGGGAGAAAAAAAAAAAAAAAAAAAACCTGTTCCTCAGAGCTTATTCCAACAACATCCATTGCCCTTCTTGTTGCAACGTATTCCTTAGCATCATCAATGCCATCCAACTCAAAGCAATTTGATTGATTCAAATAATGAAATGTTCTCGGGTTCCCCAACTTAAACCTCTGAATATCCTGACAAATGAAACAGAATAAAATGTGAATAATCTGGCCGAAAGAAGAAGTTGCTTTGCATTTAACGTTTATTTGGAAAAAAATCTGTACTCCATTTCCAGATATGAGAAAAAAGAAAAGGGCATAAAGCACTGTGGAGGTTTATCCCCAAACTAATTTTTTCAGGGATTTTTACACAACAGCTCATTTTTTGGAAACTTCATGTTTTATATTTGATCTTGATTGCATTTTTAATTCAAAAAATAATAGCACAATTGAGATGCCCCTACACTTTTTGTTACTATCAGTTTCTATGACTAGTAAAAGGGGTAAATGCACATCTATTGATATGTCAACACACTGATTCCTCAGCATCAACCACAATAAACCTTAGTCAGGCAAGAATCTAAGTACGTAAAGGGGCAATATACAGTGACAATTATCAGTGCCAAAATATATTCATTGCACATGCTCAACAGAACTTTCAATTTAAAGTAAGAAAGGAATAGCAGGTCATAAGTACTCGAATGCAATTTCTTTGGAGCAAAAGCACAACCTTTATTGACCCATTTAAAGGAAAATTACCTCTGGTGGTGCAGCACAAAGCATGTAGAAACAGTGATAATTTCTCTCAGGATCAGACACCTGACAAACACGTGATCTTTCTAGCAAATAAGTTCTGATCGCAGCTCCAGAAATTCTTCCCCTCTGGTCAAATTGAATCTCCACAAACTTACCAAAACGACTGCAAAATTCACAAGGAGCAAATAAAAAATAGATCCCCCAAACCAAAAAAAAAAAAAAAAGAGAGAGAGAGAGATATAATGTAAGAAATTATTTACAACATGAAAGAATTTAAATATTTAATCTTCTAACCTCGAGTTGTTGTTTCTTACAGTCTTTGCGTTACCAAATGCTTCTAAAACAGGATTGGACTGCAAATACAATGAAACCACGACAGAATTTAATAATAAAATATAATAAACCAAAAGCATGTGTAACACTGATACCCCAAAGATCCAATATTTCAACCTTAAAATTCTCAAACAGAACTAAAAGGAAAGTCTCTTTACCTCCAGAACTTGCTGCTCAACACTCCTCCCCTCAGCAACAGCTCTACCTCCCATGTAAGCAAGATACCTCATTAGGCATTTAGTGCTTTCCGTTTTACCTGCCCCACTTTCACCACTAACCAAAATTGACTGACTTATTCCCTCATTGATCATCAGTCTGCATCCACATCCATGGTATTATTCAGTGTACGACAAGTAATGGAAAGAATAACTTTGAACCAGTTTGAGACAAAATACCTGTATGCAGCATCTGCAACAGCAAATGGATGTGGACTCAACTCACCAAAGGCTGCCCCTTTATATTGGGCCATCATATGGCTATCATAAAGATGAGGTAGTCTTCTAAAAGGGTTCACAGCAATCAGTATATTTCCAGTGTAAGTCTGGAGGAAACATTCAGTGTATTAGCCTTACTATGCCGGCAAATTTTGGAAATACAAATAAATAACACAAACATTCCTCAACACCCATTCATACAACTTTAACTGCCCTCCACTCCAACTCAAGCCGAGGCAAGGAAAGAAGAAGAGTGATTAACATTTTTCTTTAAACACTTACATAAATTTCATTCATATCATATCTTGATTTTAGATTCTGCAGGACTCCGGGTTCATGCAAATAAGCCAGTTTTGTCATATCATCCACTCCACATGATGGGACTTCAGCATCTTTGGGATAGACATTAGAAGCCTTAACAACAACCTGAAAAATTTTAAAAAATTTAATAAATAGGAACCAAATTCAGAATATCCTCGATCACTATGTCATATGTTCTCAAAAAAGTTAAGAACAAAAGTATCAGTTTAACTTCAATGTCGGACAAGAGAAACTTCAGCAATAGACTATTTGCTTATTACATAATGAAAAAAAATAATTAGCAACTTGTTACTCAGCAGTTGACAAAATATATCCAGCTAAAGTTAATATTTAATAAAATAAGCTCAAGAGTAACTGTTTTTTAAAGGCACTCACAGTCTTCCCTGAGGTGCAGAGGACTTTGATCTGATCGCCATTAACCTCCACAACTTCACCATCTATCCAAGTTACTTCTGGATCTTCCACCCATACAAGAGATCCAACTACAAGAGTAACAGCAGCAGCCTGCAAAGCCAAGAGTGTCAATGGTTCACCATTTGAATCAGAGGTGTCATTCTATTGCTACTCTAAACACCATATAGCTAATATTAGTTCTATTACATGCAAGCTAAAAAACATGTTAAATAATTGAAAAGCAGATATTGTCTAAGATGCTAAGTTACCTTAACTATTATCATCCACAATATTTATAGAACAATAAACAAAAGAATCCAGGATAGTATACTTAAGTACACTCTATAAAACAAGCTAAGTGATAACAATACGAAAACACATTTGAGAAAACAACCATCCCCACTCCCAGCATCAGTGACACCTATAATCTATCATATTGAGTTTGCAAAACAAAATATTCTACACGAATGTATAGAACCAAGTTTGGAAATTTAAACTAAAATCGAAACTCCAGTTACTTGAATCTATATGTCTTACACTCAAATGTAAATAATTTGCTTTTTTACTGTTGGGCAACTCAAAACTTATCAAAGAAATGGCATAAAAACCAACTGCAGTTGTATAAAGCACCAGAAACTGAAAAAAAAAAAAAAAAAAGAATCTCTCAGTCTGAAATTTAAACCTATGACTCTGTTTATCATTTAGTAGCAGCCAAGACGAAAGATTCTTCGAACTTAAATCTCGGCATGTGGAAGATGTGACCTACATTTGCTCACAATGCTTTGAACATTATTCAAAATTATGAAACTCTCGAGTGTTGATTTCATGGTGTAAATTTCGAAGTAAGTCCACGGTTGATGACTAGAAATCAAACAGGAAAATTCGGATATAATAGCCTACACACGAACCCCAAGGCCCTAAACCTGACTCTTAATGAATTTAATCAACATCATATTCACAAGCATCCAGATACAAAAAAAAAAAAATAATAAATAAATAATGGAAATTAAAATTTAATCCAAGGTCCGGAACAAGAAGCTCTGGTCAATGGCAAGTCAACACCCGACGGCCGGAGATATAAACTTAAAAAACTACATAAATGGTGAAAAGAATCAATAGATCAAAACACATTCATCAAAATAAATCTAAAACATCAAGAAAATATAAATTACTATCCGCTTTCCTTCAACAAAGTTCAGATCAGTTCACCGACATATGGAACGACGACAAATGATTAACCAAAAAATGGAATTTCCCAAAAAAATTAATGGCGGCAAGACTTGAAATGAGCAAGAATTAAACGATAAATGCACAAAAAAATAAATAAAAACACCATTTATAAATACCATGTTTTATAACGATTAATTGGATCAGAGACTTGGCTTGCTTCTCGATCTGCTTTCACAGCCTTCAATAAAGATAGATTACCAAACGCAGAAGACACAAATCTTTGAAGTTGAACTTGTCTTTGATTTTCAACTGTAATTGATTTCTATAAAAATAAACAATAAAAGAATTTCTACAAAGAATAAAAAACAAAGATCAAAAACTGAGAAGCTTAAACCCTTCAATGACACCAAACTATTGAAGAAGAGAATAAGCCCCTCTCTCTATCTCTCTCACTGCTGTCCGAAGCAGACCGTTCTGTTTGCAGTTTTGTAAATCTTTTCTTTTCTTTTCTTTTTCTTTTTCTTTTCTTTTCCTTTCTCCTTCCACCTCGGTTTAAGCTTATAGCTGTAATTAAGGAGCGTGTAATTAAACTGAAGTAAACGCTTATTTAAAAAGCCAAGTGGAATTCCAAAAATACCCCAAATCTTGACTTTAATTACAATCTTTTAATGACAAGGTCAGCTTGGATACGGTCTACAAAGGTTGTCTAGACTGGGTCTTTCAAATCGAATTGCAAAGGCGGTAAGAGTTATTACACAAAAAATTCGTGCCATGGTTTTTAAGGAATGTGACGTGAGATCACTAAAATATGAGTTACGTTCGTTTCATCCAAATATCGTGCTTCGTACTGGCCAATATATCGTGTCACATCAAAATAAATATTAGAGCTTTTTTTTTTTGGGACAAAGTTACTTTAGCTTGAATCTCAAATTAAATAACTTTAAAAAATTATATTATGGAATATAAGAAATTATTCCATTATTAAATGAACCTAATTTGATTTATATGGAATTAATTATTATTTGTGAATAATTGTAATTAGGTAAAAACCTTCATTTAAAGTATAATTTTATATAAATTTTAGAATTATTATGCAATTTAATTTATGATTTGAAATTAATTTTTAACCATATACTATCTGAAAATATGAGTTAATTTTCTATGTTTTTGTTATATTTGAAAATATAATATATAAGACTTACAACTTATTTTAGAATTTAAAATCATGGAAAACAAGGAAATTATTTTTTTTTCCTTTTCTTATTTTGTTTTAACTAATGGATTTTATCTCAAAATTACATTTGAATAATATTTAAATCAAATGTTTTTTTTTTCTTATAATTCTTGATTTATATATTAATGGATTTAAATTCTATAAAAAAAAAAGTTTTTTTTTTTTGTTTGGCTCTTAACAACATTCCATTGGCTTAACATTCATGGGTGTAAAAGTCATCACGTAGAGTTCTCAGTTTATACAACAATAGACTAAATAAAAACTAGTGCTAATTAGAGTTGAGAGAAATAGTAAATATTAAATAACGTATTGCCAAAGATTAAACTTACCCTAACTAACTAATCATGAAGGATTGTCATTTGGAGGAGTCATTGAAAATCAACTTAATTAAGTGCAATGTCATCCTCCATTGAATGTATTTTTCTGAAGCCAAATCATTCATGATTCATGAATATACAAGCCTTCAGTTTCCGGGTAGAATTTTCAAACTATAAAATTAATGATGATGCATTTTAGATTTTCAACAAGTAACTACAGTCGTGTCATTAACTACAAGTACAAAATTGTTTGAGACGGTCCATAAATTCAGGTGGCGCTATGGCACTCTCGTAATTACCTCTCAAATACAATGGCATACATGGAGATTGACCTGCTTATTTAATTGGCTAAATACTAAATTCAATAATAAGATAAGAGTAAAACTATGTTTAACAAAATATGAATAAAAAAATAAATTTAATGAGTTTAATTTTTTATTTTATCTTTTTATTTATTTTTAAACAACTAATTTTGTATAAAAATCTTTGTAAGATTTCTTTTCAAATATAATATTATTTATAAAGTAAGTGAAGATTTTTATTTAATGGACACTCACAGAATATATAAGGACAATAAATTTTAGCAAAATACCAAATTACAGCTTACTGCCAAAATGTCTGATGAAAACCCAATGATATTGCGCCACGTATGCAACAAATGTTTCAACATAAAATATCCTCACTTGATTGCTTCCGTGGCTCTATCATTCTTACATGGCTCTTCATGATTGGCTGTACTCTCCGATAATCTGGCGCGTGAAATTCTGAGCGTGGCTTTGGGCACAAATAGTTGGGTTGCACTTGAGAGCACGTTATACCGCGTCTTTGACACCGTGTTTTGGAGTCCAAAAGTAACGGTTTAGATGCAAGAATACATGATCGGTGCACTCTGGAGCGTTGGTGTTGGTTGCAGGGTCACCGCCTTAAATGACGGAATCAGCTAGAGAATATGCTAAGCTAATTGAGGTTCACACTCACACGTTAGGCCCGTCTCCTTTCACAACTTGCGTTTAAATTATTTTTTTCTATCTAAGAAAAATATATTTACTTTTAGGTTTCAACCTAAGGCTGCTTATGATCTATATTATAATGTTTCATGAGTATAAATTCTTTTAGAGTTAATTATACATATCTCCCCTAAGGTTTCAATCTTTCACAAACACTCCACTTCTTTAATTCCATTGGGATTACTTTCATTACACTCCTTCAACATAAAAATTTGACAAATTTACCACTATAATTAGTTACTTACATTTCCTACTATCAAGTTTTGGTATTAAATTAATTGAGAGGAGGACACAAAGTTAAAAATTAAAATATTTTGCATAGTAAAAATATAAAAACTGAAAAAAAAACATACTTTTTAAAATATATATTCTTGTAAATTGAAAATTCAATAATAATTTTTTTTAAAAGAAAAAAGATCGTGAGTTTTGACGATCTAAGACTGTTTGCTTAAGAGATCTTTGATCGTCCTACACACAAAAAAAAACCTTTTAAAAATAATATTAAATCTTAAGTATATTTAAAAAAATTAACTTTTTTCTGAAAAAAATTATTATTTTGAAATATATATTATATGATTTAGTATTTTAACATGAAAGGTCCATTTCACCCTTCCCTCGATTAACTTTAACACATAAAATGGAGGGCAAAGGGTGTAAGCAGCTAATTATTGCGGGGTAATGTCAAATTTTTATGTTATAAGGGGTGTGAAATAACCCTACGGAGTCCCATCGGATGTTAACTGAGTGGAGTGTTTGTGAACATGTAACGGTCTTTTCCATCCACATGTGAAAAGTTGAAATCTCACGGGAGGTCCATGTAATTAACTTATTCTTTTATAATAAACAAAATAAATTGTAATTGTTTTTATTATTTAAAAAACTTTCTTGAAATTTGGTGCACTTGACTCATTATTACTATAATCTTATAATGTAAGATTTAAAAATTAATAAAAATAGCCGATAAGTTTGTTAATCTATTAAACACTCTTAAAATAAAATATTAAAAATTAACAAAAACACCCTCACTTACCCATTAAATACCGACAGTTGGCGACCACCGTCAGAGGGTGGTTAGAGTCACCGTATTGACGCACGACCGATTAGATCTGGTCGATCGTGCGTCAATATGACATTTTTCGATCAGATTTATTGTGGATCTTGCCGCATTTGATCGTCAACGTTGACAACTAACTATAGCTAAAGATCTGGTATTTTCCGACCAGATCCATCGTGGATCTTGTCAGAAAATGTTAGATCAGCGCACTACCGACCAAATCCAGTCGGTAGTGCCCTATTATACGAGATTCCAATCAGCTTCCAATGGTGGTGGCCGAAATCTGACAAATGTGGGTTATTGGGGTGTTTTTGTCAATTTAAAAAAAAAATAGAGGGTGTTTAGTAAAATTAACAAATATAAGGAGTTTAAAAAGATTTGAATAATATAAAATAATATTTTGAAAATAAGAAAATAAATGTGTATTTTGGATAGAATAGGAAATAGAGTAGTGAAAAATTGTATACAAAGGGCCTAGTTTTTTGGGAAGACAAGTATGATTTGTTAGTTGTTACAACTGGAGAAATAAAAAAATAATGGGAAGAAAATGATGAATAAATTAATCATTTTTATTCAAGTTTTTAATGATAGCATTTTGTTTAGAAAAATGCACACTCACAACATCTTTCTCAAAAATGTTATTTTACAACCCCATGTGGTAGCTTTTAATTGGTTAGTTCGTAATAAGTCTCATTTGGGTCTCACTTAATAGATTACAGCTAATCAATTATGAACTGTCATATGAGATTGTGAAAGAAAGTTTGTGATAAGAGGTTGTGGATATAACATTATTCGTTTGTTTATTTTTGAAATATTTGTTTTAATTTAAACTAATAAATTCAAGGTACCTTTGTTTGTTCACAAGAGACCATGCAACTAATTTAAATAGTATCTACCATTATATTCACTATTATAAATATTGCAACCAACACGTTCTATTTGACGGCATTGAACATCAGTGGAATGTGAATCCTCTTTATTATGTCAGCATTTATGGAGTCTGATATTTTCTCCTATTCATGGCATGCGATATGCTGTTTTATTAGATTTTCTTCCAAAATTCTAGCTTGAAACGCCATGTAAAAATAATGTTATTGATATAAAATTTTACCTTAAGGCTTAAGTTAAGAGAAATGTTATATTTTATAATAATGAACATTGAACAGAGAAATTATATATGCACACGCATACTCTTATTGTTTTTTGACGTGTTTCATTTGGCAACATTACGAAATTGGATTAAGCTGCATTAAAGAAGACATTCCCACTTGCATTTGTCAAAAGCATAATATGACAACGAAATTGTCAAAAAATTCATTATATAATAAGTTATTGACATACCAAAGGTGTTAAAAAAAATGAAGAAATCGAACTGGTTTTCCGAAAAATAACTAGTTCGATTTCGGTTCAAAAAAATGTAAAAACTGATTTTTCAGTTCGATTATCGATTTACAAGAATATGGGATCTAGTTAACCGAAACCGGTTTTATAAACCAGTTTATTATAAAAATATTAAATATTAGATATTAAATTAAAACCGGTTAATCAATTTTTATTAACTGGTTTGGTTTCGATTCAAGAAAGTTCTTAAACTGAAACATCGGTTCGGTTAACAAGTTCGGTTAACCGTTCTAAACACCCCTAATTGTGACAATATTAAACTGACTGTGTATAATTGATGAAGGGTTGATAATTAATTGCTGTAGGCACCAATAACGCTAGCTCAGGAGGCCTTATAAGATAATGTCATAATAGAGCACTGATAAACTAAATGGGGCTTATAAATCTTTGCACAACCCAGGCCCACAGATCAATATGCTTAGCCAACTTTCCCTATTTTTCTGGGCCGGTACTAGCTGCCTGGCCTGGCTAACCCCAACCCACAATCACGGATGGTTGGTCACGCATTTCGCTGTCGCTTTGAGTGTTGTTATAAAATTGCACGACCATCTGACAATTTCTTTTGACGTTGGCCAGATTCAATTGCATAAAGTAATTTCCTTTAATCATGTCATTATTAAAGAGATATGTCCAACCCCAATTTTAGGTAAGACTTGGATAATCCGAATATGCAATGTTAGATATATAAAGTCAAATATTTACTAAATTATCACATAATTCACACGATAAACATAGCGTGACAGCATGCCATTTGGATTAATACAAGGGAGCTATTACGGTATTTTGATTTAGTAACGAATAATATTGGACTTTTGTCACTTATTTTATTAACACGAAAGCAAAGTTGACAGCAAATAATTAACAAGAAGACCATAACATCACAATTACTCAATAATATTTTTGTATTTTATATGAATAAAAAACATGACGACTTAATTTATAATTTAATTAATATGTCCTCATCGATGAAACCACGTATTTTTGTCTGGGTGCTTTCGATTTGTTGTGCGACTCATCTTATAAGACAACTAATAACTTATACAAACATATTCTAAGTTCTGATTTTATACTGTTTTTTTAACTTATTATCAAAGATTCGAATATCTTGTTCTTTTTATGTTACTGGTTTTACAAAGTCATTCTTAAAACTTTGATGTGTTTGACTAAAGTCGTGACCTTTCACCGCGGCTAAATTTGTTCTGTATCTCGATTCTCAACTGTGGAGTTGGGCTTACATACCGAATTGGCCCATTGGTCAACTATCATTCATTTCAAGCAACCGCTTTGGTTTGTTGCACGTACGGATGGTTGCTTTTTATTCCTTCGTTTAAAGCTGCAAGTATAACTAGCAGACAAAAAGGAAAACTATATTGTATCGTAGCTTAGTTGATATTTTGAATTTATAAGGTGTTTAATAGACATAAAGATTAGTTGAGATATAAAAAAATGACCCACCCTTTAATGAATGGGTACAGTGATTTATAGCACAAATCTCTGCTTTATTTATTAGTTTAGAGAATGATTAACATCAAGTAAATATTACACATTCAAGATAATATGGTAAAAACCCTTTTATGGTTTTGAACTGATTAACATCAAGTAACTACCGATCTTTAGTTTAATATTTTTTATTACTGATCTCTTCTAAAACAAATTTTATCGGTTTAGTTTAACGTAAAGCATTTATATAATGGGAGCTAATATGTTATTTTAGAATGGATTATACTACGGTACTGACAAGGTTTCCACGTTTCAAACGTTTATCTCTAGCAACTCTTCTTACATTATGATACTTTTAATTGCAATGTTAATATTATTTAAAGCCATTCATGTGTGAGTGGTCCAGTAGATAAGTATTATGTAAGAATCATGGTTTAATAATTAATCAACCCTTAAACTAGGGGCAGAAAAACAGCCTCGTAACATTAAAAAGGAATGGGTGTTTGTGACAAAACCGAGTAGTGAATCCATCCAGGAGCAAGGCGAGTAATTTCTTTTTATTAAAAAAAATGTTTTTAGGAGGTTTATCTGAGTAGTTTGTTAGGCCCGAGAATGAAAGAGCATTGGCAGGAGGAGAGACAAACTTTTAGTTGGTAACCGGACATGTAACATTTAATATATATCCTTTTGAGACACAGACAGTAGGCGTTTTAGACTCTGCAATAAAGACTTCTTTATTAATTATCTCTTACACAAAACAAAACCCATTACTTTACTTTACTTCCATACCTTATCTTACCTGACATACGTTGCTTTTATGTTTGAACAACTGCCAAGTATTCTGACTCGTGTTTAACACTAATATGAGGTTTTAACAAATTAATATGCTATTGTTATATTATATAGTATGATTAATAAAAATGTTTATCATATAATAACCATACATTAATAGTGGAATAAAGTAATAACGATACTATCATAAAAAATGCAAAACTCGGGAGTTTGAAAGGGCGTAACAATCACTACACAGTGATTAATAACAGCATTATAAACATGCAGTATCGGGAATGCGCCATTACCATAGATTTAAACAATTACAGGTACTAATCTAGCTGGCTAAAGTACGTTATTCAATGCTGATAAAAGAGACAATAATGAACTTATCTCTATTGACCTTACACAGCTTTCCTTTCAATAATTAAATTAATCTTAGCCTTTCTATGCACTTATGGAAGGTACAATAACTATAACAAAAAAAAAAGAAAATTTGTGGCTTTATCATATCGTTGATTACTCTCCAAAAGCTAAGCCACCCTCTTTGTGAATGAATCCCAGCCATGTTCCACGCTATTTGAAATAATTAACTTACGTAAATATAGTCAAAAACAAGCGATGGCCACACAGCTTGACAGCTCGGAGGTTTTAAGTGAATTACAAATGGAATTAGGAGAATTAGGGGCCCATGCTGTTAGACGGAGACCGTGTTACATGCGCGTCGAAACTGGGAAGGCAATACGAAACATTCTGAAAATTAAAATAGAGAAGACATTCTATAACATAACTGGTGAACCTCGGACTTTGAGATAATGGTGATTGTGTATCTTGGTCTTGCCTTTAGAAAATATAGAAAATATCCGATTGTCTGTGGGATTCTGGCACGCCCTATTGACCTGTTGCTTCAAGACTGACGACATTTCACGCTTAAGAACAATGCCTTCGTAACACGCGCTATGTTTTTGCTTAGACAGTTGCAAATTTGCAGCTATGTGACAAAGGAGCCCCTTTTTAAGTAGGCAGTAGGGTCAGACTTAGGTTCATGTGCACTTAAGGAGGGAATTGGGTTGACAGAGAGTGAATTTATTTTCATTTTTATATTTATCTCATTCGTTATTTTGAAAGTAAGATTTTAGCCATATTTTTTCTTTTACGAGAAACTAGATACTATTTTCAAATAAAATAAATAATTGATTTTCGGTACTTACACCAACCGTATATGACTGAGAGATGATTATTTTAAATTAAATTTATATAAATATCTATCACTGTCACAAATCCTATTTTATTTGTTAAAGTTACGCCGTGAGTAGAGAGTCTCCAGCTTAAATTACTATTTAACCAGATGGCATTATTAGCACAAATTAGCAATACATTATTACATTTATATCATCTCAATCAACAATTAACAAAAAGAAGTAAGCATATTACACTACCCGAACCGTAAAATTATGACCGGGTTTTACCCAGTTGACCCTGGTTATAGAATCTGAAATTTAGTTTTATATGTTAAGTAATCAGGTTAACGTTGAGAATGTTTGTGTAGGTCCTACTATATCCAATCTGGATGCTCGGCTTCTGATTGGTTGGTTCGTTTTCACGCGCCAGAGCATACGTGGAACCAGAGATATTTCTCTTACCGACTCACTTCATTAAGTTTCACATCAAATACAGATATCCTCTGAACTGTGCAGAATAACTCAGTTGCACGCTCTCCTGAGTCTCTGGCTCTCTCTATTTGCTCTCTTCGTTTGCTTCTCTCTTGAGCCTCCCACTCTGTCTCTTTTCTCACATTCATTCTCTCTGTACCATTCTTCTTATCTTTCTTCTCCATCAACGCTGTCTGTCTGTCTGTCTTTTCACCATTTTCTTATTCTGGTTCTTGCTCTTCCTTCAAACTTCAAAGGAACCAGCCATGAACTCCACAAACAGCAAAGAGAAGTTAGTTGTAGAGGTTGTAGCAGCTCACAACTTGATGCCTAAAGATGGAGAGGGTTCATCTTCAGCATTCGTGGAAGTGGAGTTTGACAACCAAAGGTTGAGAACACAAGTCAAGGACAAGGACTTAAACCCTATTTGGAACGAGAAGCTGGTGTTTGACATTAAGAACGTTGCAGATCTTCCCTACATGAACATAGACGTCAATGTTTTCAACGAGAGAAGGTCAAGTAATAGCAGAAACTTTCTGGGTAAGGTCAGGGTTTCTGGTACGCACATTTCTGAAGAAGGTGAAGGGAATCCTGAGCTATACACTCTTGATAAAAGAAGCTTGTTTTCTCATATAAGGGGAGAGTTAAGCTTGAAAATTTATATATCCACTAGAGAGGTTAAGCAAGTGGATTTTGGTAATGGGGTTGTAGTCTCTCGTTCAGGTTCTACTCCTTCAGGGTTTTCAAAGAAGAACAAGAAGTTGCACCAGCAAAATCCCGTTATGCAAATGCAGCAACAGCATTTGGGTCAAGAGGTTAGCAAGTCTACGCAGCAGGGTCAAAACCATGCAAAGCCTGTGGAGCCCAACCCAGGTGACATTAAGCCTGTTGTGATCACTACTGGTCCTGGTCCCGTCATCATGGGTGGTGGGGCCACCGTCGGCGGCGGCCGGGGGTTAGGTATGCTCTTTAATGGGTCTGGTGAGTTTTCTTTAAAAGAGACAAGTCCTGATCTTGGTGGTGGTCCTCTGAACAAGGACAAAACTAGCTCTACTTACGATCTTGTTGAGCAAATGCAGTATCTTTATGTAAGAGTTGTGAAAGCTAAAGATATTTTATTGTTCGGTGGTGGTGATATTGTAGCTGAGGTGAAACTAGGGAACTACAGAGGAATCACTAAGAGGGCGGGTTCAAGCAACTTAGAATGGGACCAAGTTTTTGCATTCTCAAACGATAGTATACAGTCTTCAATGGCGGAGATTTTGGTCAAAGAAAGCAACAAAGATGATTTCTTGGGCAGAGTTTGGTTTGATTTAAGCGAAGTGCCGAGAAGGGTTCCTCCGGATAGCCAACTGGCGCCACAGTGGTACAGAATGGAAGATAAGAAGGGTGATAAGGCCAAAGGAGGAGAAGTCATGGTCTCAATATGGTTTGGAACTCAGGCTGACGAGGCATTTGCAGAGGCGTGGCACTCAAAGGCAGCAAACGTGCATTTTGACGGGCTTTGCTCGATTAAGTCCAAGGCTTATCTTTCACCAAAACTTTGGTATTTGAGAGTCTCAGTTATTGAAGCGCAAGATATTGTTCCAGGGGACAAAGGGTCTATGATGATGAGATTTCCAGAACTTCATGCAAAACTGCAGGTGGGAAATCAGGTTTTGAGGACCAGAATCGCGGCGCCTAGCGCAACGAGGAGCTTGTCAAATCCTTACTGGAATGAGGATTTTTTGTTTGTAGTTGCGGAGCCATTTGAAGATTATCTGTTGATTGCAGTTGAAGATCGTGTTGCTAATAGAGACGAGGTTGTGGGCAGAGTTTTTCTTCCTGTGAGTGCAATTGAGAGAAGAACTGACGATAAACCAGTGGTTTCTAGGTGGTTTAATCTTGATAACCATTTTGGTAACCCTGCTGATACCAAAGCTATGACAGGATTTGGGTCTAGAATTCATCTTAGCGTCTCTCTTGATGGTGGTTACCACGTACTCGATGAGACCACACTGTATAGCAGTGATGTTAAGCCAACGGCAAAACAGCTCTGGAAACCTCACATTGGCGTACTTGAAACGGGCATTTTGGGTGCAACAGGGCTTATGCCAATGAAGATAAAAGAAGGGAAAGGAGGATCTGTTGATGCTTATTGTGTTGCAAAGTATGGTCAGAAATGGGTTCGAACACGAACCGTGGTTGATAGTCTGTCTCCCAAATGGAATGAGCAGTATACTTGGGAAGTTTATGATCCTTGTACGGTTATCACAATTGGGGTGTTTGATAAATGCAGGCTTGACAAGAACATGATTAACAACAGTGGTGGTCGTGATTCTCGAATTGGAAAAGTCAGAATCAGGCTGTCTACACTTGAATCTGATCGTGTTTACACTCATTCATACCCGCTCCTCATGTTGCACTCTACAGGTGTGAAGAAAATGGGTGAACTTCATTTAGCTGTACGATTTTCATGTTCTAATATGGTCAGTATGCTGCATATGTACACCATGCCATTGCTACCTAAGATGCACTATGTGCATCCTTTGGCAGTGAATCAGTTGGAGAGCTTGAGGTACCAAGCTATGAATGTGGTTTCATCCCGACTTAGTCGGGCAGAGCCACCCCTGGGGCGGGAGGTGGTTGAATATATGCTTGATCATGACTCTCACATGTGGAGCATGAGAAGAAGCAAGGCCAACTTTTTTAGGCTAATGAATGTGATATCTGGTCTTGTTACCATTTGCCGTTGGGTGGAATCTCTGCGCAATTGGAGCAAACCGGTATACTCAACCTTGTTTGTGGCATCTTTTCTCACCGTGGTTGCATTTCCTGAGATTATAATCCCTTCCATGTTGCTCTGTATGTCACTTGTGGGACTTTGGCAATATAGGTCCAGGCCACGCTATCCACCTCACATGGATACCCGGCTGTCGCAAGCTGAGAATGTTTTCCCTGATGAATTGGATGAGGAATTTGATTCGTTTCCAACGGGTCGAAATGCTGATATTGTTAGACTGAGGTATGATCGACTAAGGAGTGTTGCTGGAAGGATTCAAACTGTGGTTGGGGATATGGCAACTCAAGGCGAACGATTTCAAGCACTGCTCAGTTGGAGAGACCCAAGAGCCACCTTCTTGTTTGTAGCTTTCTGCTTGTTTGCTGCTATTGGGTTTTATGCTGTGCCATTTAAATTGGTTGTTGTTATATGGGGGCTGTATGAGCTGAGGCCACCACGATTCCGGAGCAAATTGCCTTCTCCAGCTTTGAGTTTCATCCGGAGGTTGCCTTCAAAGGCAGATAACATGTTGTAGACCATTAGCGAACAAGCCTGTTCATGGATAGTGGGGATGGATATTTTGGATATAATATAGTGGAATGTCTAATGTTTAGGATTTAATCTATGTACTTTTGTCTGCTGTTATTTTTAGTTATGTGTCTTGGGAGACCAAATCCATATTTAAGGAAATTATGTACGAACCTTCAAGAGAAGCTGTTATTTTTAGTTATGTGTCTTGGGAGACCAAATCCATATTTAAGGAAATTATGTACGAACCTTCAAGTTCTCTATCACGATTATGAATCTATTATATATTTTTTGTAATTAAAGTGCTTTTGATTATTTGATGGTCTTCGGCTATTTGTTTTGTCTTTCCAATGCCACTAATAACTTCATAACAAAGTTCCAACGGGCCAACCCTCTTCCATTTTCAGTCTCAAATCCTGTTACTAGACATCCTCTTGTAAATGGCGAGATACCTTTAACAAGTAACGGTTATTAATCATAATAAATTAATAATATTTAGATTTGAAAATATATGGCAACCATGGATCTGTCCCAAAGCTCTACAGCAGCAGCTGCTTGCAATCTGCCCACAACATCAAAGCTATCAAACAAATTTCTGTTGCATGGACTTTCTTATGGGAATTAAGAAACAAGAACTTAGCAAATGGCAACATAAATCTCCCCGGTGGCATGTAGACGCAGACAGCAACAAAAGTTTTTAAGTACAAATATATATTTATGACATCAGTGGTCCCCGTCAATCAGAAAATATGCAGACGCAGTGATTCACATTAACTACTTATAAGCATAGGTCAACAACATGAACAAGTCTGGGTCAAGCAAGCATGCCATGCATCACTTCAAAACTTGCTCCTTCACAAGTATAATTAATAAGGTCAGATTCTGCAAATTGTAAGTTCTCTCTTGCAGTTCAGAGCAGAGTCTCAGTCTCTCTGAGAAGAAAGTGAGTATCTTCCTGGAGAAGGAGAACATTCAAAATCTGGTGTCTTTATTTTTTATTTTTTGTATTTTTCATTTATGTGATTTTCGTTATTTTTCTTTAAACTGATATTTACTTTTGGTATTTAAAAAAATAAACATTTACCACTACAGTTATTACTATTGCTGTAGTACATATCGGAACGAACTACGACTTAAAAAAAATTTTAAACTTGTATTTATTTGGTTGTGTGCGGCGAGTGGCGATCTTTCTAGTATCTCCTTGCACCAACTCTGTTTCTTTCTGGGAAGAGTAATAATTACAAAACAGAGTAATGGCGCTATGGATGGAGGCAGGATCAGAACCCAAAACCGAAAGCGAGATAGCTGACCTTGAAGCTATTACTGCCCTCAAAGAGTCGGCTGCCCTTGAACTCAAGGTCCTTTCTCCCTCTCTCTCACCTCTTTTTTTTTTTTTTTTTTTTCACTCTGGAATTTCCTCGAACACCTGCCATACGATTAAATTTATTTAAGCTACTTATGAGTTCTGTTATATTTACTTCTCTAAATTCAACCACAAACAAAGCATCATGTTCGAAGAAGCTGTTGTTTTTTATTTTTTTATTTTGGGGTTTATTAGTTTGCTTGCCTCAAGTAAGCTTCTCGAGGTTATTACATTAATTGAAAAAAATTCCGTTGGAGAATGTTGTTATTATATTTGTGGGTTTATTGTTTTTTCATTAGCGTTGCAGGAGAGAGGCAATGAGTATGTTAAGCAGGGTAAAAAGCATTACTCTGATGCTATCGATTGCTACACGAGGGCGATAAATCAGAATGTTTTAAGTAGCTCTGAGAACTCGATTTTATATGCAAATAGAGCCCATGTCAATTTACTACTAGGAAATTATAGACGCGCTCTCATGGATGCTGAGGAGGCAATCAAATTGTGCCCAAATAATGTTAAGGTTGGTAGTTATTTCATGTTCAGGTTCTTAGATGGTCTTTCTTTGTTGTTAGTTTAATTTGTTTAATTAATTAACCTATATCTCATGTTGCTTAGGCATATTATCGGGGAGCTAAAGCGTCATTGGTGTTGAATTTGTTGAATGAAGCAAAATCATTTTGTGAAAAGGGACTTGAGCAGGACCCAGATAACAAGGAACTAAAGAAACTTGCTGGGGAGATTGATTCACGGAAGCAAGAGGAAGACGAGCGCCAGGCTCTAGTTTCTAAGGCAGTGTCAGAGGCTAAGGTTTGCTAATTGGACTCTATGAAACCAATTCTTTTTGTTTGTTTACCCTTAAGTCATATTCCTTACTTCATCGAATTTATGTAGGACCTTGCTTCTGCAATCCAGAATAGAGGCTTGAAGATTGGGAAGGCGATGTTTCAAGAACTTACTGGATTAAGGAAACCGGTTTTAGATAATAATAATATTCTTCACTGGCCAGTTCTTCTTCTGTATGCAGAGGTTATGTCCAGTGACTTTATTGAGGACTTCTGTGAGACCGACATTTTTGCAGTTCATCTTGACATGATATCCATTTTCAGAGGCCTTTTGTTTTAGCATAAAATTCGTTAATTGCTTTATTCACTTTGTCTTTATTGTTGATGTATATCGAATTTTGCATAATACATTCTCCACCTTTTGTTGTTTGTACCACTTTGTGATGTCCTCAACTATCAAACATGTTTTCAGAAGGTTGTCCACCACTGCCATGGGATAAAGAAAATAACTATATGCGTGAAGCAGTTGAACTGTACTATGAGGTAACCAATTCATTTTCAAGATATTTAAGTTATATTGTATATAGAAAGAACTTGCACCTTCAATTGAACTTCATGGAAAAATAGTTCTTGTTTCTGGTTTTCTTTTTATATAAAAACTTTGTTTGATCATGGTAATCCTATAAGCGGAGGAAAACTATTACAGTGTATAGCAACATTTTGTCGTATAATGCCTGCTGCTAAAAATATTTTCTGGTGCCAATTTAGGACACCAGGTAGCACCATTATTGTCTGGAAGCCCTTCATTTGCATCTTTAGTGATAGATTTTAGATGATTTTTATTTTCAATTCTTGTACTTGGTTTATCAGGCTGGTTCTGGAGTTTCTCTGTCAAAGACAAAACTTCTCCGTTATCTGCTAGAGGGGACTGCCAGTGCTAATGCTGAAAGCATCAGTGATGAAGAGAAGGATGCAATTGATGACTACTCTGCAGGTATCTGAATTGTGGTATTTTCAGTTGAAGACTTGATAACACTATGTAAATGAAGAGGTTTTATGCTAATTATCTCTCAATAGGTGCTTTTTGTTTTTTTTTGTTATCTTTTTTTGGCTGCTAGTTGCATGTCTGTCTTCATTATGCTTAAACAAGTTTTTAAATTTCTTTTAAGAGTTCATTTTATCTTCCAAGTTGTTTACAGTTCTTTTCTGAGTTTCATGTAGATGCTTAAGAAAGATCAATTGTTTCAGGTGAGTTAAATTTTATATGTATATTTAAACTTTTCTCTTTTCATTCCACAGGTAGGGGCTCTAAATGGGTCAAGGTAAATGAGAAAAGGAAGCTCTATGATGTTCTGAAAGAAGCTAACTTCATCATCCCTGGGATCCCAGGTTTCTCTATTTTCTTATCAGAGCAATTCAATACATTATCTCTTTATACACACACATAGGAAAAGACACACTCGCACACTGACATGCTATTTTGCAAGTGAACCATTTTCTGTCATGTTTTCATTGTTTCCATATGATTGCTGTGTATGCAGTCTTTTATGTTGTTTCAAAGACCTCCAGTTTCTACAAAGATTTCAGATCAGGCAAATGGACTCCACCTCCATGAGTGGGTAGCATAATCAAAACAACTAGTAGCACAGTTTCTTATCTGAAGATATATATTGCTGTTAATGAAAGTGAAGGCATTGTTGATAATCAGTAGAAGAAAAAAATCTTCATAGACCTTTGGGTGATAATGTTCATAGATCCACAATGTTTACCTGTACACCAAATCAGAGCACTGAAGGCGTTTTCTTATTTGGCCATTGTTGTAGGATTTTTCACTTCTTCGACTTCGAGGATTTGATGTATTAGACTATTAGTTAGCACAATTTCCCTAATGGTTCTACGCGAGAGTTGAAATTAAACCAATTTCTATTGATTGGATCCATGATTGGTTTGAAGCCATGAAACTTGGCCAAAAGTATTGACAGGGCATGTGTTCATTCCAAGGAAGGAGAAGGAAAGCCTTTATTTTTATGGAATAAAAAGCACACGAATGAATAGGTAAACTGTAAAATACAAGTGGCGTGTTAAGAGTACAATATGAATCTGAGTTATAGAAGTAAGAATAGCTCACTTTCCTTCCTATAATTTGATAAACAATTTGAGGGAAGTTGTAGATACCTCGACTCCCGGTAAAAGGGGGAATGGTTACGAAGTCTAAACCGTACGTGTCGTGATCTATTCAACTCAAGAATCTCGTTATTGGAGTCTCCTTTTCTACTAGATCCTCTTGCCTTCATTGTCAAAAAGATCCCGGTTTCTTTATTATTAAGGTTACGTTTGATTCGCTATTTTTTTTTTTTGACACTTTTTAAAGTAGTCTTTTGAAAAAGTTAAGTTTAATTGAGTTAAGTTAAGATTTGAATTTAAATATGTATTCGATATATTATTTGAATATTATATTAAAGTTAAATAAATTGTTGAATAATTGTTTGATATAATTTTCAAAAAAGATTTTAAGATAGAATATTTAGAGACATTTTAATTAAAAAAATTATTATTTGATTTATTGAACTTTTCAACTTACATTTAAATAATATTAATTAGTTGCTTGATAGTTTTTTATTTATCACTGAATTAAAAACAAATTCTCCATAATAATTTCAACTACTAATATACTATTTAAAAACACGATATTAATACATATATAAATTAATAATACGAAGCTACTAATAATCATTCCTCAGAATCCTTCGTACCCTTATATTCAATTAACAATTACGAGATGGACTTATGTTCTGTCCATTGTTTTAAAAGCCGGGCCGGAGAGCAAACCGCTCAACTTCTCGGGTCACGGTTCAACCGGTGACGTCATCACACATCATGATGACGTCAGCACATGTTAAAAAACCTTTTTTTTTTTTGTAGATTTCTATTTTTTAATAAGACAATAACAACTTAATTACTGTCCAACATGATTCAAAGTTCAAATTCAACAACAATCTCAACATAATTTAAGTATTTAAAAACAATCCAAAGTCCAAATCCAAACATGATGTTGTATTTACATATTAAATGACAAAATACATAATAATTAATAACAAAACATTTGGTGCAAGCTAGAAAATAACCAAATAAGCATCCAAAGCCTGTATCATTTTCATGGATTGTTGGTGGTGGACAAAGCCCTATGAATGTTTAACGTTCTGGGGTTGAAGAGCTTGTATCATCAATGCCTTGTACTAAAATTCCCTCTCTTTTTGAACAAGTGCTTTTCAAAATTCTCAAAGCTTTATGGAGGGGACTCATTTCAATATATAAAATGTGGAATCATCACAACTCATAACTTGTCAACCCAGCCATAAAATCAAAAAAGAAATGGACACAATCATAATAACAAGGTCATAGATTTTGGTTCTTTCTTTCCTATATATATATACTTTAACCCTTCTAAGCGTAACTTCTAGGACCTAATATATAATTCATAAGCAGATGCACCAATTTTGTCACCATAAGCTACAATTAGGGAATTCAGTGTCCCCAATAGAGATGGCAATGGGCCCGACATTTTCGGGTACCTGGCCCGGCCCGGCCCGGCCCGAAAGGGGCGGGCTTTATCTGAGGTTGGCGGGCTTGGGCTTGGGCTTGATTTTAAGGCCCGACCTCAGGTACGGGCCGGGCATGGGTACATCTTTAGGCCCGGCCCGGCCCGTCCCGAAAATTTTAGTATTAATTTTACTAATTTACCCTTATACTATATATTTAATTACAATATTATCCTATATATATATATATATATATATCTATTTTTCCCAAACCCTAACCTCAATTTTTATTCCGTATTGAAGGTTTAACATGTTAAAATTGCCTTTAAATGAGTTAGATGGGTTTGGTTCAACTTATAAAAGTGGATTTCACCATAACATATTATGCACAACTGAAAAGTTAGTATAATCAAATATTATGGAGTTTTAATTGCTCAATTATTGCTTAAATTATTTGCGGAAATAGCTTCAATTAATATTTAAAAACTATTTCTAAAATTAAAAATAAAAAAAATTGAAATTTATTAATATTTAAAAATAAACATTATTAAAAAAGGCGGGCTTGGGCCGGGCCTATGGTTATAAAAAACCCGTCGGGCTGAGCTTGGGCTTTGCCTATCATACCCGTAGCGGGCTCGGGCTGGGCTTGGGCCTGTGTCATGAGGTCAGGCTTGGGCTTGGGCCAAGGGGTACCCGATCCCGGCCCGGCCCGGCCCGGCCCATTGCCATCACTAGTCCCCAATGTTGCCTGCCTCAGTGCTCGATTAGCCTAGTGCCCAAGTTAAGAGAGAAGTCAGTACTTTTGTACACATATCTTCAATTCAACAGCAAATAAACAAACTTCCATACCTTTCGCAGGAATGCCATCAACTCTGTGATTACATGCTCCAAAACACATGAGAGATCAATGTGAAGTGGTGAAGCAGCAATGACAGCAAATGGCTAAATTCAAATCCAAGGTTGTAAGTGATCAAATCCTTACAGAATATTAGAGGCATCCAACAACAGATTCTATTATCATACTTAATACCCAAAAATTCTAAATTGAATGATTTTGTTTTTATGCATAGAAAAATAATATAATGCATATGATAAATGCACAATGTACCCTATGTATCCAACAAAGAAACCACAAGTATCCAGCTATTCAAGATGGCACTTTTGACTCAATAATGAAAAACAATGGGCTGTACAACAGAGTGTGAAACCTAAACTCAATTCTACTTAACCCAACAAAAGATGTCAACTAATTTGGATAAGACAACTTATAAATTAGCGAATTGAAAATATACACCCACATAGAATTTAAACCTTGCGATTATGAATGCATGTGTTGACAGCAAAATAACTCCTCAAGAGCAGATAATTGATTTTTTGATCCATTTCCTTTCATTGAAAATAACCAAATAAGCATCCAAAGCCTGTATCATTTTCATGGATCGTTGGTGGTGGACAAAGCCCTATGAATGTTGAACATTCTGGGGTTAAACAGCTTGTATCATCAATGCTTTGTACTAAAATTCCCTCTCTTTTTGAACAAGTGTTTTTCAAAATTCTCAAAGCTTTATGGAGGGGACTCATTTCAATATACAAAATGTGGGATCATCACAACTCATAACTCTTCAACCCAACCATAAAATCAATCAAAAAAGAAATGGACACAATCACAATAACAGGGTCATAGATTTTGGTTCTTTCTTTCCTAAATAAATATATATATATATATTTTTTTTTTTAACACTTTAACCCTTCTAAGCGCAACTTCTAGGACCTAATATATACTGTAACCCCTCTGCCGACTTTGAATCAAATTTTTGGTTTCGTCCTTGTTGATGGCTATCGAGAATATTTAGAGGACCCATTTGGTTTGGTTGAAATGCTTTCAGAATCAGTTTTACAAAAACACTTTTGTGACTAAATTGAAGTGAGTTGATCAAGCAATGAGAATAGGTAGACACGACATGTTGTCAAAGAGCACAATGCCACTGAAATGGTTGTCATGAAAATAACCAAATAAGATTGGCTAATGTGTTTTTTACCTAGATTGTTGACGAGAGGAGGAATAGAGCTGTCGTCGTCGATTTCCAGTGAGGGAGGAAGACGTCGTCGCGATTTTAGAGAATAAAGTTGCAATCGATTTCAGCAACGAATGGGTGCGATTTCAACAAGGAATGGTTGCGATTTCAGCAAGACTGAGTTTTGATTTATGTGGGATTTCAGATTTTCGCGATTTCATTCAAATTTTTTCAGAGTTTTTTACGCATAGAGGAACTGAGGAAGAAGAAACTGCGCCGCAAAGGGAGAAAGTGATAAATTAGGGTTTTTTTCATTTTTCAGATTGGGCCGGTTTTTCTTGCGATCCGGTTGGACCGATGGTCCAAAACTGTTCACGCGGTCTAATGACGAGTTAAAACGGCTTATTGCATAATGATGGGTTTTATGCTGACTCGAACTGAACACGTGACCGGTTCACGGTCCAATCGGTTGGACCGACCGGTCCGATCCGGCTTTTAAAACAGTGGTTCTGCCCACATAGCAGTAGTTATGCTATCTCTCAGAGTTCCCATGTTGTCTGTATTACGCTGAGTCGGTTGATTCGAACTCGCCCCATTTCCTTCCTCTAAACTCCATCAACATTAATCTTTTGGAAGATAGGGTTGTTCTTATTGAACCTTCTGATAAAATTATGAATTGCACATGTCATAGCAATTTTAGCTTGCTTCTCCAACGTGTAATTGTTCATGCCATCAAGAATGTAGAACCCTTTTTTCAAAACACCAAAGGTCCTTTCCACAACATTTTGAAGCGATGCATGTCTGTAATTAAACAACTGCAAGGGTCCAGAAAGGTTACGACGCACATCAGGAACATGGTAAGGAATCTATCTATGTGGGGCGAGGAACCCACCTTTGTTCGCATAACCCGCGTCTACTAAATAATATTTGCCTATAATGAAATACTGAATGTTATTTGCAGAATCTTAAAAAAATGTTTACAGTTTAGCTAGAATATGTAAAAAAGTTAGTTATACCTGGAGGAGGATGTAGGAAACCCGAATCATGATTATCTAGAATTGAATTTAAAATCCTTGCGTCATGGGCAAATCCTTCCCAACCGGTGACGACGAATGTGAACAACATATTGAAGTCACAGACGACCATCACATTCTGTGACAATGTCCCTTTACGATTTTGGTACGTATCGACTACCTCAGCTGGTGCCCACGCATGTACATGTGTACCGTCAATCGCTCCAATACAGTCCTGTTGACAAAATTGCATTTTAATAATATGTGAAGACTAACAACATTTATAAAACAATGAACTTAACTACAAACTAATTAAAAATAATTAAGTACCTTAAAGAATGGGTAATAG